CAAAGACAAGGGAGACCGGAATGGCCATTTCTGGCTTATTAGGCGTCATCAGCCAGTCATATCCAACCCCAAGTATATTTACGACTACGCCTGTCAATTCTATTTAAATTTATTAGTCACCGATCGACCTGGCAGCATGTGGCCTCATGACAACTTTTGTTTCTACGAAGTCCTTATCGGTAAAATCAGGCAAAATCCTGTTTCTCTTATTGAACCCCACCTCAATCAACTCAACAGAATCAAGAACGCAACGAATCCTCGGAAAACCGTTTTGGAATCTATACTCAGACTGTAGGCTATTGGCAAACCGCCATACTTTAAATTACACTTATTCTTAAAGGATATTTAGACGTAAGCTTCACTAAAACACTGTTTTTATACATTATTCTATTTGTGCTTTCATATTTATCCTGTGTTTGCATGATAAGACATTCCATGTATTTAAAAGGGGAGTTTTCTAAATTGCAACCACTTTTGACGTTTTTTGGACTTTGTGCATTTTTGAAAAAATCGGCATTTCGAAGCAACGCACTACTGCCTTTAATATCTCTCTTATTTTTTTAATTATTTTAAGTTCTACTTAATTGACATAGATATTGGATTCATGCATTGATATCGGTTTGCGGGTGATTGGCGATCATTCGTTAGTTTTGACACCCTTCATGAGTTAGGTTACCTACTGTACGTTTATGAAAACCCTGAAAATAAGACACTTCTTGAAGTCATTTATCGAAGAAGTGAGTGTTTGGGTAGTCTTTTCTATGTAGATGATCGTTTGTGTCACATTTGAACAACCGCCTAAACATGAAACTTCATCATTGAATAAAATGACTATCCACGACATACGTCAACAACGAATATGCTTCCGATCAACTGGCGATATTTTTGTAATAAGTTACCTATTCAAAGAGTGCTTTTGACGGGTATCCGTGTACTTGAAATCTGTGCACAATAAAGTCATGAAAAAATTGGCACTTTGGCCATTTCCTTCAAGCTGCTGAAAATTCCCATCTTAGTTTCAGTCATCAAGTTTTATGGGTTAGATCACGCAATGTATTTTCCGAACCTGCTAACGAAGTATGCCATGTGGATTTCGGAACGTCTTTTCACAGTCGTGCGGAAACTTTCGTAAGATCTCCGCTGGAGCTTGGAAAGCCTCGGGGGGTGCGGAAGTATAACTAATGCCACGAAGATTTACCAAATTTTTAGAACCAAGAAAGTTCAAAATTTATAGGAGAAGAAGCAGGCCGTTTTTCTTCCCTACTTATAAATACATGTGTAATGCAAAAGTCACCTCAATTCGCAGTCCAAAATGCCTTTATAAGACATTCTTAATTCAACAGATTACCATCAAAACGTTTTAGAGCCCGATAAATTTGTGGTCCAGGCACTTCTGAACATGATGCGTGGTTTTTTCCTGAAGACTGACATCCTCACCAACTTGATTGATCTCGCTGTGAGAAAAATCGCTGTGCGTAATAGAACAGTCACCAAAATCGGCAGTTACAACGGAGCCATCTTTTTGCAAACAATTTAATTTAATTTTTTGGAAACCGCTCTCGCAAGACCAGTGACGTTTTCTCTGGCAAAAGTGCATTACTCTGTTTGTCGTTTCTCAGGAGAGGCACCTTGCCTAGAATGCCACAGGTAAAACGTCAAATTTTCTCAGCTAGCCTTATGTTCCCGATCGTGATCAGAGAACTTGCCGTCCTTTGAAAAGTAATCAGGCATCATCTTATGGTAATTCTTTGTGCCTGGTGACCCCCTATTGATATATTTTCCCTCGAAGTTGTCTGTAACTGAGGCTCGCACATTGTTTAGTTCGCATTTTCTTTCTGCACGACCATGCCATACAGTAAATGTGGTACCTCATAAGACGTTAAGCGAAATTCTGAAATGTGTTTTCGATCCGAAAAAAGAACTTAAGTGGGCTTGTAATGTTAGTTGCCACGAAGCATAGTCCCAAGACACTTCGGTCATATCAAGATGCCGTTCTTTGAACGAGCTTCTTTCCGATCCAAACTCCGTCAAAGGTGACTACTTAAGCAATACACTTTTTCTTTCTTATTTTTGAGGCCCCTAAAAATCTGAATATATTTTATGAAAAAACATTCAAAATATTCGTTTTTTTACTCGTCTAGTATCAAATTAGATCTTCTTTAAACCTAATACATGAAGGAAGAGTATAATTCGGTTTTAAAAAAACTTTTCCAGTTTTCTAATGATTTTGAACCCGACCTTTCGCTACAATTAGGTTCAGGGTTTCCAAACCACAGGTTGTATATTTTCCGTTTAAGAAGAGTCATAAAGTTCCATGTGCTACTAAGAAGATATCGAATGGGGTTAACGCAATTTTGCAGTAGATTTGAACCACATTGTATACTTTTCAAGCAACAATAACATATGTAGGGGTACGACGTTTGAGGAATGGGCAATTCCCAGTCTTAAAGCACCTCATAAAACGAAACGGCAAGAGTATGGTTTATGGCCGGGGAGCATTTGTGTCGAGCAAAAGAGCCGAACATTTAGAAACCTTTCGGTTTCACAAACTGTGATCCTCCATATTGTCACCAGTTAAACGGTGACACTATTTTTGCCATTTAATTGTAATAGTAAGGGAATTTACTGCCCCTTTGAGAGCATTGTCAAAAAGGTATTGGCGTATCGTACTTTTTACTCCAATGACTATCTTAAAGCCTCCTGACCACCCCGACGCAACAGCCACCGCGAGGTCTTTTTTCTTTTCTCTGGCACCTACAAATAAGGATCGCCAGTTATTTTCTTTTAGTGCAATTGCTACCCGAAGTAAGTAACGCCAGACATAGACCATTCCCCTGTCTTAGAATTTTTTTAAAACTAGAGGATATTCTTTCTTCAAGTATAACCTTTAAAAAAATGCGTAATTTGCTACCAGATAAGTGGGGAACGAATCTTTACGTGCACGTTTTCTATAGAATATACTGGAATTTCTTAGGGCATCGAAAGTTAGCCAGACAAATTCATCATTTTTTACAGGTGGTCAGGCAGAAGCTCGTCCAACAGCCGATATCCCGACTGGCTGGCAATAATCGGGACTACAGGTATGGTACGAAACCCCCATTTGGGAGGCCTTAGTTAGATGCAAACCCAACGGCAATCATGATCAAGCCTTCAGTGGGAAATCCCTAACCTGTAAGCATGTTAGAAAAACCGTAGCCTTAAGCCAAGCCCTAAATCCATAACCTTGGCCTTCATCCAAAGTTCAAATCATAACCCAGGCCCGGAAACCCTATTCCTGAGAATAACACAACTAACGCCAATTCTAACCACTTTTCCAGACCCTAGCCTTCAGGCCAAAACGGGCAACTTTAAAATTGACAACGCTATCGGAGGTCAAAATCTGCTCTTCTGCATAACCCCTTTCGCGACCCAGTACCAGGCAAACCGTTATGAAGCACACCAACCACTCAGGGGGGGTTGCACACCCCATCCATACCGTTATTTATACGTGCAAGAGAAAGCAGTAAAAAAACACCTCGCGGTGGCTGCAGCGCGACGGTGGTTACGATGCTTTAAGGTAATTATCGCAGTAAAAATAAAAAGAATGCCATACCTTCTTTGACAATGACCGCAAAGTGATATTGAGTTCAATCACTACTCTCATTAAATGGTAAAAATACAGTAGGCCGGCTAACGCATGAAATGTCAACCGAAATTCTGAAATGCGTTTTCTTAAAGCATCCTGACCACCCCGACGCAACAGCCACCGCGAGGTCTTTTTTCTTTTCTTTGGCACATATAAATAAATATCGCCAGTTTGTTTTCTTTTAGCACAACTGTTCCCCGGAGTAAGTAACGCCAGCCATAGACCATTCTTCTGTCTTAGAATTTTTTTTTGTAAACTAGAGGATATTCTTTCTTCAAGTCTAACCTTTAAAAATGCGTAATTTGCTACCAGATAAGTGGGGAACGAATCTTTACGTGCACGTTTTCTATAGAATATACTGGAATTTCTTAGGGCATCGAAAGTTAGCCAGAAAAATTCATCCCACCCAAACAATCATTTTTTTACAGGTGGTCAGACAGAAGCTCGTCCAACAGCCGACATCCCGACTGGCTGAAGTATAGTAGTTAGTATTACAACCCAAATGAAGTGACCTTTTCATAATTTCAGTTGACATTTCCAGAGATGACACATTTACTGTATTTCACCCCTCTACTAAAGCCACTGGACTACGCAAAGGAGCTACTTTAAAAGTAGCATCCTAGACTGTATAGGGGGAAATATTTTAGTTAGTACATAGCTTTACAGCGCAGACCACTGGAGCAAAGTCCTCTTTCACTTCATGTCCGGCCGTCTAACATTGACTTCCTGTCTGTGAACGCGACAGAGACCCCTCCCCTCCCCACCCCTTGGCGGACTGTTCCAAAGCTCAATCTACCCTCCGCGGAGGTATTTGGCGGTTTTTTTTTAACCAACTCCGGATAGTCGTCCCCGAAATGAAGAGGTTCGCAGGATCTTTGCCCCAACTTTTTCTTGCTGCCGACAAAGACAACGTCATTCCTGGGGTTAGTTGCCATTACCGGCCAGATAAAGTCCGGTGATGGGACGGTAGTACCATAGGATTCAACTGGTTTTTGAACCAGACTCGCTGACGGTTTGGCTGTGGCCTCATGACTCTTCACAGACAATAATGCGCAACCGTGGCCCCCTAATGTAACACTAACTGTCCGACCTTGGGACGGTAGGACCCTAGGATGGAGCCCGGATTCAGCTGGTTTTTGGGCCAGACGCTATGCTCAATGGGCTCATGACTCTTCGCAGATGGTCATGCGCGACGCTGGATGGCGCTAACCGTTCTCGGTCTGATGGTCCCCATGAAAAGCACGAAGGACGCTGATCCCGCAGCCCTGGGGGGTTCTGGCAGATCGTGACATGTCGCCATTCAAGCGCATGGCGGGCATGAAGAAAGAATGTTGACCCCACGAACAGCAAACAGGATGGTACGACAAGAAAGCTTTTATTTGAGAAACAGGCGTACTATCGACGACAGCAACTGGACCCCCAACCCGACAAAGCGCTCGACTTCCTTGGTGTCCGAGGTCCTGGGCCTGCGGGGTGATCCTGTGAGGAATTAAAAAAAAATAATAATAGTCAGCTGGCCAGCTTTACAGAAGTCTCGAGTGGGGGCATTTTATGGAAATACCCCAAAGTTAATAGTCTACAAGTTCTGAGGATTAACTGTGTACAGTGTTATCTGAGACGGTTTTGCGAGATCACAGATGATATTCGGTTAACGATCAAGTCGTTCGCCAATTAGTTTTGTATTTGACCGAATAATCTACATACTTTGGACGGTTCAAGTGGCGGTACCCACCTTCATGGCTGAGTTGTGCCAAGTTGGGTGCACTCAAAAGTAGCTTAAAGATGGATCGCTGCAGCATATGTCCAAGCTGCGTCAGCCGGTTAGGACTTTCAAGACAGCACAGCAAAACGCGTTTGAGAACCCTTTATCCCCCAGAGGTTCTGAGCATCAATATTTTAGGACTATTCGACAGTTTGGAATACTAGTTCCGGAAAAGTGTCTATTTCTGGTATACTGGGACCTTGTTAGAGGTAAGCAGAGGTCACCGACTGTGCAAAATAATACAAGGAATATGGGATTACGACATCTCACTAGTCAATTATGGTAGATGAGTTGAGTTCCTCTCGCTCTCCAGCCTGTATCCAGGTTCAGATAGAAGAAGTGGATAGTATACTCAAAAAGATGTCTTACCGCGTGAGCCGCGTGTCCCTTCGGAGACCTTGATGCAGCCGAGTAGTTCCCCGAGTAGGGAGTCCGTTGTCGTCCGCCGATAGATCCTACTTCTCGAATGAAGGCTTTGTGAGGCGTGATTTTCTAGACTTCTAGCGTTCGGCTGGCACCTCAAGAGCTCATCTGTCTTTCACACGTCGCTGAAAACAACCTGTTTTCCCGATGTGTGAAAGACGGATGTGGCATGGTGCCAGCCTCCAGACACACGACCACACGCTGTCGGTGCAGGACGCTTGTGCGAGCTGCAGCGACTGCAACTGCCTAATACCTCGGAGGGCGGCGGCGAGACGGTCGCTCGCGCTAGGCCTTACCATCACGTGGCAAAAAACTCCGCTTCCCATTGGCTAACTACTAGCCAATGAGATCGTTGCACGCGCGCGTTGCCATCGCAGCGTCCACGCGTTTGCAAGCCGTTATCGACCTTTTTGGTGTTGGACCAGAGACCATGGCTGCGCGGTTGCCAGGACCTAGCAGGAGCGAGCAGCAGTGTTTCAGACACCCCCACTGCGTGAATGTAGAGAAAACGCACAAGCATGCATTCAGCCCATTAGAGCTTTCACAGGGCCTCAAGGAATGTAGGCGTCTGCTATGCCAGGATCAGCAAACCATGACCCTCGCAACCTGATGCGTGCTGGCAGTTGTCTGGCGCCTGTCATAGTATTTCGGACTAGCTAGGATGCTTTTGAATGCGCTTCATTTCGACCTTATATAAAAGCCATTTCGATAAAAAATGGCTACTTAAGTAGCACTTATTCTTCCATTGATTTTCGATGGTCTTATAAATTCAAATATTTGTTATGGAAAACGTGCACAAAAATGTGCTTTCTTTTACTTGTTTGGTAGAAAATAACATTGTCTTTGCCTTTTATACCCGAAGAAAGTGTGTGTTTAGGTTTTAAAAAATTTTCTAGATATGAGATTTAAAACCGTGCGTTGTCGATATATGCAGCGTCGCACATCCCCGTCTACCAATGCTCCATGTGAAATGTACAGCATAGTCCACATTCATTGCAAAATTCTATGAACTCAATACGCTTTCTTCTTAAAGGCATAGAGGAATATTTGAAGTTTCTTGTGCGGAAAGCACGCACCTTGTAGAATGGAATCGCTGAATGGTAATGCAGCAGCTGATCTGGCCCAAAATTATTGAGGAATTGGGAAACTTTTTCAGAAGCTAAATACACGCTTTCTTCGGGTATAAAATGCAAAGACAATGTTATTTTCTACCAAACAAGTACAAGAAAGACTATTTTTGTGCACGTTCTCCATAACAAATATTTGAATTTATAAGACCATCGAAAATCAATGGAAAAATAGGTGCTACTTAAGTAGCCATTTTTTTACCGAGTTTGGCTTCTATAGAAGGTCGAAATGAAGCGCATTCAAAAGCTGACATCCTAGCGAGTCCGAAATACTATGGGAGTACGTTGCTTGATAAACAACCTTACAACCCCAGTCAAGTAGTTCTTCCTAATCGAAAACGCATTTCAGAATTTTGGCCAACATTTCATCAGATCGGTCACGCACTGTATCACTATAAGCTAATTCACGCGCAAGTCACCGTGCCTGCTTCACTTTGCTGTGGAGAAGACAGCGGATATCGTCGGGTACGACGGTTGAACTTCCATAATTCTCATAGCTGATACCAGTCAGAAAGATCAGAAAAAGAGAAGGGAGAAGTTCTGTCCGCGACGGACCTGCTAAGCAGTACCTATGAGGCACTGGAGAACCTTCTACTGATCCCCAACCTTGATCCTTTGTAGGTAGTCTTAGCATATGCTTGAGACTTTGGGAGACAAAAGTGGCAGTTTCGGGGCCCTTCTCAGCGGAAATGCGTAAAACCAAAACATTTTATGCGAGTTGCAAAGTACTTCTCACAGACATCAATAGATACGCATCAATCGCAATGGACTCTCTTGAGGCCAACCCTCGAACCCACTTTTTGGCCGCTGTGAAGAGTGGCATTGTTTCGAGTGAGGCATTAAAACAGTACGTCATGCGTCTAACTTATATATGTATGAGTCGCAGCCAATGAAAGAAGGGAGGACAACTTTGCCCCAAATCACTGTGGTGGAAGTCTCAACATCGGCAGACGAAGCTGCGTCTACTACAGTTGCTTTTCCCCCACCCACCAGGCTCTGATATGGGCTCGAGGACAGTGACTGACTGAGTTGAACGGTTCGACTACGCGAGCCACACACGACCTGATCGCCACAGCGCGCGCAAAGCCTCAATTAGGGCGGCTGGGACGTCACGTTACTGACAGTGACATTGGGCCGGAGACAGTACAACCTAAGTTCCATTCCTACAGTCATTCCAAAATGCGGTGATGGTAGGGTAGGGTACGCCACTACCTACCTCCTCATCCTATTTAGGAGGGTGTGGTTAATAGGGGATTGCTCGGAAACGGGCCATGAAAGGGGTTATGCGATAAGCATTCCCCTTCACTCGCGTTACTGACGTTAAAGTTGGCCGCATCAGGCGTCAGGAATTGGGATATTTTTGGAATTAGGATTTACAGGCTTGGGTTACGGCTTGGATCTGGGATTGGGCTTTTTGGTTTAGGATTAAGGGTTAACATTACCAATTACAGGCATGGCCACGGTTGGAATTATGACTGTAGGTAAATACAGTTTTCCCAGGCGAGGCTACGTACTCTACCCTTGCCCAAAAGGCCTGCGCGAGGTGCCCCAGTGTTCGACTTTCCGGCGTCTGTCAGACGGTAACCACGACAACGGGGCTAGTCAGCCGGCATGCCGCTACCGCGAGGCTACCGCCGGACTTGGCTTGCGGCGCCCCTTGTCCATCCGGGCTGGATCGCGGCTGCGCCCACAACGGGCGCCTTCTCGCGCGCGTCGACCAGCGTGGGGTCTCGTGATCATGAAACCCCCCGACTAAGCCCACATTCAGTGCTCAGCCAATCAGTTCCTCACGACAGTTCGACCGTCGATTTCGACGATGCCCACCGTGTGCCCCACAGACTGCACCGTGGGAGCAGGGACGGTGACTTACGCAGGGGTTTATAGTGCCAGTAGACTTGCGTAGCATCTACCTACACTCTCTCCTCCTCCCCCGCCTGGGCCCGGTGTCAAGACAGAGTCAAGAAGACCGGAGACGAGGGAGGCCGCAGGTGGATGGCTCGGACGGATCCTCGCCTCGGCGCTCCACTCCGCACCCCGTGGTCCACACCACCGCCTGGTCAGCCACCGCGCCCATTCCCCACTCCAGTTCCTCACACTGGCATGTCACACAGGCACTCCAGAACGGGTGCTCTGTTCCGACTCATACGCAAGCTGCCAACTCATGGCAACCTCCCCTCGCACTCGCGGCTCGCGGCTCTCTGACTTCTGTCAGTAGATGGAACGAACTTATTGTATGTGGGTGGTCAGAGTCGATCTGATGTCCTTGACCGCCACATATTGGTAACCCTAACATGATGCTTTCCTCCCGTTCTAGTATTAAGACCGACATCGGTCCCACTGTAGCCGACCTTCAGTGCGGAACCCCCTATGACTGCCTGGTGGATTAGTATCGCGGTAAGTTGTGGTTACGTAGCCCCATTTGAGGGACACAATGCTGTTGGGGTTGGGGTTAGGATTAGGGATTATGATTTGGGATTGGGGTTAAGGATTAAAGTTAGAGGTTAGGGCAACAATTTCTCAACCACTCAAAGTACAACCGCGCACTCCCAATGGCTTTTCTTTTGCGTACAACTACTTGACCTCGTCGCCTGTGCGTTCCCCGGCCCCATCTGTAAAAGCCCTCTTACCACCGGTCCCGTATTAGTGATGACTAGGGTTTGTTTACTTAAAATGGGGCTACATAACTACATCTGACTAGCATACTTGCATTCGAAGAAGGGAAAAGCGATTTCCCTGAATATATCTACTGTTGGGATTTGGGTAAAGGGTTGGAGTTGGGAGTTATCGTTAGGAGTTAGAGGTTATGCATAGGGGTTTGGTTTAAAAATTATGGTTAGGGCCTAGGGTTTAGGATTAGGGGTTATAGTTAGGGGTTAGGGTTAGGGGTTAGCGCAACTATTTCTAAACCACTGAAAGTACAACCACGCATTCCCAACAGCTCTTCTTTTGCATACAACTACTTGACCTCATCGCTTGTGCGTCCCCCGGCCCCGTCTGTAAAAACCCCCTATTATCACCGGTACCGTATTACAGGTGACTGGGGTTTCTTTACCTCAGGTGGGGCTACATAACCACATCTGACCAATATTGCCTACAACTACCCCAACATCCTCCGACTTTAGCAGTTATATGGACCGACCCAGCAATGCTACGTGCAATCTCCACGCAACGCCACAGGCAATTTTCTTCATCCCTCCCGGTCTGCGAGTTCGTGCTGGTCTGGTATGCCATCGTCTGTTTGTCCCTCCCAGCTCCTATGGCAGGCTGTGAAGGGTTATTCGACGAGCTGACAAGGATTTCGTCATCGATGGTAACGGCAAGACTGACACCATAGGCAATGACCGCGGCAAAACAGCCAAAGTCGGGGACAGTGAACCGAACTCACCCAGCCCAAGAAGGCTACGTCGCCAGCAGCTACTAGCGACCGCCCAACTCGGATTTGTCGCAGAACATCCGGTCGTCAAGTACAATGGTCCAACAGCTTTGTGGTTGTCTAACCTATCAGCCCACTCATTTAGTTTGACGTCTGGGAGGAGGCTGTAGGAGCCGCTCCACTGTCCAACGTTCCGGCACTTGCCTGTCGACAGTCGCGATAGATTTGCCGAGAGTATGGAGCTGCCATTGTCAAACTCTCTTCACACCCGCCCATGCACCAGTCCGAATTTACTGGCACGACATTACAACAACTGCATACCGACCTAGGGGTGAAGGGGAATCTGGGATTCCAACTGGCACGGCACGAGTCTGAAGCTTGGCGTGCCGCCATATCCTCAATGCTAACATGTTATCGGTACGCATTGCCCATAACACCCACCCAAATCCGATCTAGCCCTCGTGTTGGTCCAACGCATCTACCGCGTGATCCGTTTTAGAGGCACATATCGGAAAGGTAGCCGTTATATGACGCAGGGAATAGTTCGTTTAACATGCCTACCACCAACAGGATTTGCCTGAGTTCGAGTGCTAACGGTGAGCCTAAGAAAAACTGTTGTAGATCGCACAAGTACTGGAGCTGAACCCTGACCTACCTCTTAAACTCGAATG